TCTAACTCTCCTATTTATAGAAAACGAATCTTCTGAATGGGAGAGGGGACCTAACCCATTATAATAATCTTTTGGGCACCCCCATCAAGTAGCTCAACTTTAATTACAAGCTCTACACCTATTAATATCACACCATATAAAATTGAGATAAAACTTAAGCCCATTTGGATCGCATTACTTTATTAGGCTTTACTAGTTTTTTTTTTTTTTCCATTTGACTCAATTTTGAAAATCAAATACAATTAGTGACAGCCCACATAAAAATTTCCAACAATATCATTCCAGAGAAGAGTGTATGCTGATGAGGGTAACTGTCAATGCAAGAGAAAGAAGGTGGTGGTGCTAGGAACTAGCTGGGCTGCCATCAGTTTCTTGAAAACTTGGAAGAGCGATAATTTTGAAACAAAAATTGTTTGTTATAGGTAGGGGTGGGTATTGGTTACAGGAATATCTGTTGTTTGCAAATATTTTACTTGTTTAGGTAAGTATCATATCTAAACTATAAAAAAATTAAGTAATAGATATGAAAATGATATATTTGTAAGTATTATGTTTAGTAACAAAAATAAAAATTTAAAATTGTTTATCTAACCTCTTTAATTGACTTGTTATCTATAATTGTATAATTCAAATTTTACATATATTTATTATACTTAATAATTATAATATAATAATAAATTTTAAAAATAAAAATAGTAACATAAAATAAGGTTTGTAAGTCAAACACTCACACTTTCAATAACTCGTTAAATAATAAACTCTAAACTAAATATATAGTATACATAACAATAATAATTCATATAAATTGGGTCAATGGTTTTGGATTAAAATTAAAAAGAAAATATGATTATAATTATAGTCAATCTTTCATGTTTATACAAACTAAGCTCTTTTAATTTTTGTGTGCTTTAGTTGTACGGTGGAGACGTGCTAAAAGTTGCATGACTTCAGTTGATGGTACCTTGGACTTGCTCTCCTCTTTTTCAACTTGATCCTAATTTGTGAGTACTAAGTTGATTGCGTTTTTATTGGTAAACTCCACAATAGATATAAATTATTGTACTACTCTTTTATATGTTAAGAAATTAATATTTTAATATTTAATAATTATTTTAAAAAAAGATACAATAAAAACAAATTCTGCATAGCATAACTTTGGAACCTAGTATTTTAAAATAGATTTGTCTAACTTGCACTCCTTAAATATGTATTAAAAATATCTTTTCATCATAAATTTGTATCGAAAAAATAAAAATTAATCTTTAATTTATTAATTATCCAATTAAATTTACTTGACACTAAAATTAATATCAACTTTTACATTTTTTTATGTACATTTATAATAAAAAGATGTAATAAATACATTATTAAAGTACAAGATAGAAAAATCCTTTTTAAATTATGTATATTTAAAGTTATTATGTTGAAATATTAATCAAAGCCAAACTCCGCATAAATTCATAAAATGTCCCTTAATTTTGAAGGAGTTTACCCCTAAACTTATAAGTGCGGGATTTATAATCTTGAAGTTAAAAGTATAAGGATTTACACTCTCAAGTTAACAGAAGATGTTAAGTTTCAAGTAAAAGAAAAACTAAGTAAAAACAAAGTTAGTCCTCAAAGAATACAAAAGCAACAAGTAAATCTCAATAACTTTTAATGGGAGATATAGCCTTAGATACAAGAACTATAATAAACATTTGTAATCAAATTGAGCAAGTGGTTCATTCTAAAGAAGAAATTCTAGTTGAAATCAAAGAAAATCTTTTAATTGAGCCAAGGCAAAGAATCTAAGAAAATAAAAGAGTAAACTCAATAATATAACTATATAATAGATAGATTAGATTTAGATAATAGAGAATCAATAAATTAATAGAAATTGTTGAATTATTGAAATCAACATGAATAAGGAACAAATAAATTGGACTAACATGTATCTACTTAATACATTGGATAGCAATATAATTTGTATAAAAGATATAATTATCATTGATAAGATTCTTGAAACAAAAACTATCAATGAAAGTACTCTAAGGAGAATTAGAAAAATGGGAAAATCCCTTTCTCCAAAATTTGATTTTATTAAAGAGAGAATAAATGAAGTAAAAAATTCTAGAGTTCTAAAAGAAATAAAAGAAGAAATACACTCTATCAAAGACTCAAAAACTTTGTTATCTCGAGTTAAAGATATAGAACTTAAAATAGAAGAAATTCTTAAGATATTGAAAGAGATTGTTAAAAAGTTTGCAATAAAAGATTAAAGATGTATAATAGAATAATTCCATAGTTAGAAAGTGATATAAATAAAAATTTTTATAAGATCCAAACATAACTTAAGGATCTACAAGATACTATAATATTAGTTTATAGTAGGCAAAATGATATAGATAGAAATAAATGATTTAAAATAATTCCTAAGATTTTCACTTAAAAGCCTAAATTAAAAGGAATAACACTTTTCATGTTAAAAACCACAAGAAGAAAAGTTGAAAGAACTTGAATAAAAATTCTTAGAAGAAGAAATGTAGAAGAATTAGACAATCTATGCAAATAGATTACTATAACTACCAGACAACTAGAGAATATGAAAATGAATACTCACAAAGAAGAAATTGACAAAGAAAGCAAAGAAGAAAAGGGTGAGACACATCCTAATATAACCCCAATGGAATTTCCAGTGCAACCTGGAGTAGAATCTAGCATCAGCTAAAGTTATAGAAGGAATAGAAATCTAACACATGAAGTAATCTATGATAAAAAAAAAAAAAGTAAAAGATTTGGAAATCAATCTAAACTTGAAACTCCAGTTAGAGTAAAAGAACAAATAATTAGCACTAATAATATTTGGCTAGATCTAGATAGTGTTATAGACCTAGAAAAAGTCATTAGTGATTGGGCTTAAGCTACTTGGATAGCCATAGCAAACAAAAAGTAAAATGTCTTACAAGCAGTCAAATTTATAGAAGCCACCTTTAAAGGGATAATTCACAACTGGTTTGCCAATCTACATGAAGAAGAAAGTAATACTATCATAATAAGTGGAAATCTTACTTTCAAAGAAGTTAATGAGAACAAAGCAATTCAAGACATAATAAATAGGTTTGAATCAACCATAAGGAGAGAATTTTTAAGAGAAAATTGGGAAGAGAATCAAGAAGAAGAAAAGGCCAAAATTGGAAGAATAGTAGTATGGAATTTGCAAAATTTAGAACTATGTAATATCTATGTGTTAGATCAATATATTTGCCTATTTTAGAAATACTATTATAGGCTTCAAATCAGGGAATGGCTAAAGGCTTAATAGAATTGTTCTTTGGAAAAATTCTTAATCCTTGGGGAATAAAATTGGTAGAAGCTTGTAGAATATATGAAGGCGAATTAAGTAAAATAGATACTAGCTCTATAAGTAGCAAAGAAAGTATATACGAAGTGGAAAGTTTATATACTTCTAATAGTGATGAATCAAAATATTGAAGAAGGAGAAGTTTATTCTGAAGAGTATGAAAGACATGAAGAATACAATCAAATAATTGTATTCGATAAAAGTAAATATAAAAGAATTAGACAAAAGGGAATGGACCTTGCTTTAGAGAAAGGATTCAAGTCTAATTCCTTTTTAAGTAATCCTTTAATAGGAAAGATATAGTTTATTATGGAATATCCACTAAAGAATATAGCATTCCTACAAGAAATATAACAAGAATAATAAATATACCTTTGCTTATCAAGGTAGAAATAGAAAGCAAATTGTCAAAAATTAAAGAAGCTAATAGATCAAAGATAGGTTTTATTCACATTGGAGGAACATAAATACTTATAAAGGCTCATTTTAGGGAAGGAATAAACACCTCAATAAAGTTAATTTTAATAGATCATAGAATCAATGATAGAAAGGATTCTATCCTTGGATTACTACAAGTTAACCTTAGTTACCAAGAACTTACGTTTACAATATATCCAAAATACATTGTAAACATTAATGATAGAAATATTAATAAAACTTTAAGTTTAGCACATGAATTTGTCAAAGAAAACTTGATGAAAGATGGATTAATGCCATATAGTATTTATTATGTGATAAGTTATGCATTGACTAATAGTCATCAATATGATCTTTTTAAAGATAAATAATATATTGAATTAGATCCTATGTTCTCTGAAATAGGACAAATTCAAAAACCAGAAATGATCATTGAAATAAAACTACCCAAAGAATGGAAAATAGGTATTAGTGAAAAACTACTCCTAATAGGAGAAAGAGAAAAGCCTAAACTAATGGCATATGAGTCAAGAAAACTATTAGTCAAAATAGAACATGAACCAAGCCATAGAAATAGTAGGCTTAGGAGCTTTATTCTATCCTAAGAAAGATAAAGAGGTCTTAACTAGGATGACTAACATAAAACATGAGGTGGTGTTAGACACCTTAAAATTCCTTCTAGACAATTCAAAAAAAAAGGAGACTATTATCATGGGAAAGACTGGGATAACATTTCTATCATAATAGATACAAGAGCAGGAGTAACACATATCCATAGTGATACGATTCCACACTACAAATATCTGAACTCACTAAACCATATACATTTACAACTTTAATGGTGTAGTGACTACAGTGCATAAATATGCTAAAGTACCACTTCAAATAGAGGATAAAAATAAGAGTCAACATGAAATCACTATAATAGCTCATACTGAAACAAAAATGACTAAAAGTATAGAATTGATGTTAGGAAACATATTCTTAACATCACTATAGCCTTATAACATCCAAGAACATGCTTGAAGATTACCTTAAGTGAAAAAGAAGTAGTTATACCAAGATACTATGAAAACTAGTATCTATAGTACATACATATTCATTGGAATTAAGTATGAAAAATACAAAATATAATTCTTTCATACTTTTATAGACATAGAACCTAGGATATGTTTGGCCAAAACCAATGCATTTCCAAAGTAGTATTAGAAGAACACCTATCAAACTATGAAAGGTGTATCCATAGATGGAAGTATTATTCAATATAAAACAATAATAGAAAGAGTTATTGTCGTAATTGGTGGTATTGAAGCTATAATGTCACACCCCAAAACCCAAATCCGGGGACGTGGCAGACGCCGTGCACTCGTGAACGAGTCCCACGAATGCACAAGGCTCGGAACTTATTATACCACAATCTAATACCACAAAATCTAAAGATCAAATTTTTAAATTTGCCTTTATATCATAAAATCTCCAAATAAAGTCTAGCTTACAAGATCATGATTTATATCTAAAAACCCTGTTCCATTTACAAGATGGCTAGCCTTCTAACTCGTCACACCCCTCGTTTTTCCCTGTCCTTGACTTTGCTTCCTGAAATGGTGGACAAGGAAAAACTATGAAATAACTTAGTAAGTAAATATGGATAGCCCTTGGGTAAAATTTTAGCATGCCTAATAAATAGTTTAACATAACAAAACGTTCAATGATAAACCATTAATGCAAAATCAAATTCAGTTCAATAGCAAAGCGTTCAATGACAAACCGTTAATGTAAAATCAGATTCAGTTCAATAACAAAGCGTTCAATGACAAACCGTTAATGCAAAAGAAATTTCAGTAGTAGTCTCATCTATAAGTCATGGCCAATTTTAACAAACTCCCACTAGCAAGCGTCAGTAATTACCAGTCTTTAACAAACTCCCACTGGCAGGCGTCAGTAATTACCAATGTATCATCCCATTGGCAAGATTACAGAATGAACTGGTCATATTAGTAAACATGTCAACATGTGCCAGTGTTTGTAAACTCCCACTGGCGGGCATTAGTAATCATGACAATATCAGAGACAAAACCATGCAGGATTTACAAAAAAATCTATAATTCACAATCAATCTCAAATTTCAGAAATAAACAAGAAAATTTCCATGTGAGCATGGATTTAACAGAAAAACTCAGAATTTACAAAATTCTCAATTCATCAAGGTAGTTTAGTCAATTCCAAATAGGCATGCTCTACTTAATGCAAATGAAAACAATTTCATTTCAAACCAATCATGCTCGATGCAAATAAAATCAATTTAAACCTTGCCACCATCTCAAAAACAATTTAAAACATGCTTTGAAATTGAAAGGCGTTACCATAATTTACTTACCATAATTTACTTACCTTACTCGCACAAAACAGAAGGCTTAACCCAAGTGCTACGATGACAGAACGATCAAAACCTAATCACAATATTCCAAAGTTAATACCGCACTACCATAAATTCAAAATGAAATCATCATTTGGATTACTCCTAATCACAATGCTATTTTTATCAGCCTCCACATAACCGGACATCTTCAAATTTCATTCTTATTAGAAACAAAACATTTAAACCTTCCTATCATTGGCCATTAGTGCGTAAATAGTAATATATGAATAGTACTCATGAACAGTGCCCGTGAACAGTATTCACGCGGTGAACAGTAACAGTAATTGCAACTTCCAAAATTTTGGCAAAACAATAGCTAATTCACGGGGTTTTCTCTAGAGATCACAGCAGCCTAATTAACAAAATTCCTACATAAACCAAGCACAAAAACATATTTAAAATGCTGCCAAATTCTTTCCTTGTTTCGGCAGAAATTTTCAGATAGCAAAGGGGGTAGCAACTAACGGGCTCCTTCCACAATACACGAAAAATTGCAACAATGCAGGGCAGCAATTAATGGATTAAAAATCCAGACTGGAATAGCTGCTACCTACCCGAATTTCAGGCCAGCAAACCGGGTCTGGCGAGCTTGGTAGTCGGCGGGAGTTGGAGGGGAAGCTCACGGGGCTACCAAAATTTGAAGAAACAACAGATTTAAAATGAACCCAAGCTAAATCAAGCTGAAAGATGAAGTTCATGGCTGCGGCTTATCGAAAAAGCCCAGAAATTCGCACCCAATAAAACCGACGGACAGGGGAGGAAGAGCAGAGCATATCCGGGATTTTTGGGTTGAGAGAGAGAATTATAAGCCCCAAATCTTGTGATTGAACAAGAAAGAAGGAGAAAATTCAAGCTTTGCCACCAATTTTGTCAAAGAAATGAGTCGGTGGCTAGAGGGGCTGTCGGGGAGAAGAAGAACAAGAGCAAAATCGGGCCGAAGAAGAAAGAGGAAAAAGAAGAAAAAAAATAGCTGATCCTTATCCAAAATTTTCCTCTTTTAAGTCCCTCCAGTTTAGATATTTTAGCTAATAAGCCCCAAAATAATATTTTCTCACACAAAGGTCCTTAACTTAAATGCTAGAATTTCAAAAAACTTGGGATATTACATATAATTTCCCAAGTCTATGAAAGTAACAAACATGAGAATGACATTCTATTAGGAAACAATTTCCTAAGTCAATTCAAGTAGTATGTTCAAACTACATCATATGTCAAAATTTTATACATCTTGTGGACATTGGCTTTACACTTTTAGAATTTATAATGTTTATACTAAAGTAATAGAATCATTAAATTTCCACAACCAACGTGGTGAGGATAATAGAAAAACTTGATCAAAAGAGATTAGAAAACCAATGTTAGCATTGTGGAATAATCAAAAATCTTAAGAAGAAATAGCTCTAGAATCTATCTCAGAAGAACTACGAAGTAATTATGGAGAAGATCCTACAAAACTATGGGAGTTGATAAAACTTATATCACAATCAAATTGATAGACCCAAAAATTATCATTAGAGTTAAACCAATAATGTATAACCTTGAAGATAGAGAGGAATTTGATAAGCAAATTCAAGAATTAATGGCCCAAAAGATTATACAGGCCTTTAAGAGTCTACATAGTAATCGTGTCTTTATGGTAAGAAATCATAGTGAATTTATAAAAAAAAAAAAAAGCTAGAATGGTTGTCAATTACAAGCAACTTAATAGCAAGACAAAATTTGATGGTTAGTTTTTACCACATAAAGAAACTGTAATCAATAGCATTAGGGGAAAGAAGATATATTCAAAGGTTGACTACAAATTAGGATTTTGACAAATTAAGCTAGCTCTCAAAAGTATCCCACTAACAACCTTTCGTGCTCTTACAAGACACTGTGAGTGGTTAGTGATACTTTTTGAATTAAAAAATGCACCTTAAATATTTTAAAGAAGAATGGATAATGTATTTTCTTTCATCAAGAGATTTTGCATAGTTTATGTGGATGACATACTAATCTTCTCTTATAACGAAAAAGAACATTTATGTCATCTTAAGAAATTTGCATATTTATGCAAAAAACATAGAATATTACTTTTTAAAAAGAAAGCAGAGATAGGAAAAACCAAAATTAAATTCCTTGGATTAACAATTGATTCCACAGGAATAGAATTACAACCTTACATTAATGAAAAGATTTCAATGTTCCTAGATAAATTAGAATCAAAAGATCAGATTCAAAGGTTTTTAGGAATAGTCAATTATATAGAGTAGTTTATTCAAAACTTAGCTTAATTAAGACATCCTTTGCAAAAATTGCTCAGAATATAGGAAAATCAATAATGGGAAATTCATCACACCAATCATGTGAAAAGAATAAAAGAATATTGTAAAAACCTTCCTAGGTTACAATTGCCTTAAGACGATGAGTTAATTTTAGAATGTGATGCCTTAGAATTTTACTGGGGAGTACCTTTGAAAAATTCTCAAGAAAAAGTTTCTAGATATGCTAGTGGTACATTTTGATGTAGAAATTAGATATCATTCAAATCATAAAGAGTTATTGACTATTAAAAATGAAATAAAAAAGTTCAGTTTCTTCTTATTATCAAAGCATTTTAAGGTCATAATTGATAATATTCAAGTTAAGGGATTTATTTTTAATAAATGACCTCTAACATCAGAATATAAAATATATACAAATGGCAAACTTTCTTTGTTAAATATGATTTTGACATTGAACATGTCAAAAGCAATAATAATTGTCTTACAAATTTCTTGAGCAAACAAGGAGCTAATGGATGAGATCCTAAAACTCCAAAATAAAGGAAAAGACCTTATTCTTGAAGGTTAAAAGAAACTCATTGAAGGCAATAACCAAATTAAAGAAGGCCAAGAAAAGATGATTGAAGGCCAAGAGATAATGGATGAGGGCCATAACCTCATGGATGAAGGCTAAGAAAAAATTATTAAAGGCCATGAGTTATTAAATAAGGGACAAGATGCCCTTAAAAGGTCAAAGATTTGGTAGAAAAATTAATGAATTCCGAAGTAATTACTACGATCAGAATCAGCTCAAAAGAATCCAGTCATATATGGCAAAGAAAAGCTCCCAATAAGAGCTAAAAGAAAATTTTGAACAAGGTGATCCTTTAGTAGGGTTACTCAGAGAAAGTTTAAGAAAATTTGACTATTATGTCAAATACTCTCCCTTAGAAATGTCAACATTCCAAGCTGAAAAGTCAGCTATTCAAAATGCTGAAAACCATAACTTTCGACCTAATTACTCAAGAAAAAAGGAAAAGAAAGTTACAATAATAGACACCTTGTCAAAAATAATAATGAATGAAGAATATCTGCAGGAATATCACAGAGTTTGTAAAATGGCATATTCAATGAGGTTTACCGAGAATTGCCATCCTATCCATGAAAGGGATTTATCCCAAAATTAATTTCATGTAGGGTGCAAACGTAAAAACAATAAAAAAATTATTCAACTACGGTTTTGTAAACTGTATTTATCTCTCAAAAAATAATGAAGAAGCTTTAGAACTTCTAGAAGTTTTATGCTAAGGAGTAAAAGAGTTCAAGATTGGCACCAAGGCTCAAGGGGTAGTATTTTTCAAAATCTACTCTAGAGCACCAGAATGGGAGAAATCTCAATATTTCCCCAATCATCATATAGTCCAAATTGGAATTCAGTCCAAGAAGAACAAGGTAAAAGCAAATGAAGACCAAATTTTCCAAGATGTTGAAAAGTCTCTTTGTGGGATTGAATTCATCAAAGAAAGACAAGCTCTAAGATTCAAGGTTTTGTTGTACCTATGATTTTGATGATTACAAAACACATTTGAGTGACTAATTGATTCATTTAAGTGTGTAGTTAAAATGCCAAAAGATTGCAAAATAAGTAAACTTGGACTACACTTAAAAATGGACCAGAAAGGCTTGAATATCTGCAGAGAGCCGGCTCTTGAAAGTTGCAGCCAGTTTTGGTGAAATGGAATTGTAGAGAGTCGGCTCTGGAAGCTGCAGCCAGCTTTACAGGCAAAAATTTGAAGACTGTTGTTTGGCGCGCGCGGAGAAAGGACGCAAAGCCGGCTCCAACTTTATAGTCGACTGTGAAGGTGCATTTAATGCACAACGGTCGAGTTATTTGAAGATTATTTAATGTACTTAAAGTCGGAGTTGCAAAGCTGGCTCAAAGTCTTGCAGCCGGCTTTCGAGGAAAACAGAATGTGCAAGAATCCCCGCAAAACCGGCTGCAAAAATGGTGAGCCGGCTGTACAGAGCCGGCTCTAGAAAGTTAAGCCGGCTCTCCTGACAATTCTGTAGCTCGAGCTTTGTGTCCTGCAGGGCATTTAATGACCCCCAATAGCTAGAAACGGTTACTTTCGAGCAAGGGGCTATAGATATGGTTGGTAACATATATGAACAAGTTTAGAGAGCATTGTATTGAATATCTTTACCTACCTACATGAGATTTAACTTGAGATTTTGATCTTTGAGAGATCTTTGTTTGTAATCCTCTTCTTGTGCTATTAGTGAGTGATCTTGGGGATGTGTT